TCTCTCAGTGCCCATAACATGCGGCATGCGTCGTGGCATCGTGATGTCCCCAGATGCCGCGCAGGGGGCGCTTACTGGGTATGCTAGGTGGTTATTGCACAAGACGCGTTGCACAATTCTGCGGCGTGGTGAGTGCGTGTACCTACTCGAGGACTTACGTGAAGACATTGCGTTCAAAGATCGCCCTGTTGCTCGTGCCATTGGAATCCTGAAGTATGACGACTATGAGAAAATTGATGATGAGACCGCGTTCACAAGTACCTTTGAGAAACGCCGAGTGGATACAGTTCCTGATGGCCAAGTGTTTGCTTGGAAGCTCTCCACTTGCATGGTGCCCCCACTGGCAGATCACTTCCTCGCGCCCCTCAAGAGCACAAGGACACAGCGATAGGGGAGGGGCTGAGGGAAGACATGATGGGGGGGTCGGAGTCGGACGGGGAGGAGAAGGTTGAGAAGGAGTGAGGGTGAAGAAAAGGAGGAGGTAGACGGAACAGAGGAGGAGGAGGAAGAGGAGGAGGATGATGTTTTCAATGTCGCCCAGGAGACTGCCGTGGATCGTGTTCGGCAAGGGCGACGTCGCGCTCAAGATGAAGAGGCAGTCTACGTTGACCTTCGGGGCGCCCCGGGCTGCAGCTGCAACGCCCGATGGATGGCATGAGGGGTCGTCAGCTGCTGGGCCAATCGCTCGACAGGCTTTGAACCCAGCGGGCGCCGACGGCGACGGCGACGACGCGGCGGCGCCGCCAATTGCCCGGGCGGCCGAAGAGCAGCCAGCCCCGGCCAGCGCCAGTTCGGCGTTGGCCGCGCCCCCCGCAGGGGAGGCAGATCCAGCGGCGCCGGGCTCGCCCCGCTCAGCCTCACCGAAGGAGCCCCCTGAGGAGGATGAGGCGGCGGGCGCCGCGCGGCCCGAGCCCGCGGCGACGGTTGGGACGCCGCTGCCACCAACGCCAACGGCTGACGCGCCGCCGCCGAGCCCGCCATGGGCACCGCCGGAGGCGAGGTCACCGTCGAGATTGCCCATGCGGCTGCGGCGGCTGCTGCCTGCTCACACGACGTTAGCTTCTCCAGTTGCTGCCCCATCGGCGCCGGTTGGCCCCGCCTCGCCAGATCTTCTTGGAGGGCCTATTTCACAGGGTGCAGCGGTGCCAGTTCCACCCGCCTTTGCTGAAGGATTCCACTTCGTGACCTTTAGGAGCCTCGCGGCGGGGCGTCTGTTGGCGGCGAGGGCTGAGGCGGCGCCGGCAACGCCAGTGCCAGCCACTCCAGAGGCTTCTTCGGCGCCAGCGGCCTTGGCGCTAGCATCGCCCATGGGGGCATTGGCGCCGAGCACGTCCTCACGTCCGCCAGATTGGTCTCCGGACAAGAGGACACCGCGGACACCTCCGCATACGCCGCTGGCGGAAGCGCCTGACATCGCGGAGGAGGCGGCGGCCGTGGGCGAGGACATGCCAGCTCCAGCAGCTTCGCCATCGGAGGAGGCGGCGGCCGAGGCTGCGGTGGAGGCGGCGGCCGAGGGCGAGGACATGCCAGCTTCGCCTTCGCCTGGGCATTCGATCGCTGAGGGCGCCCCGGGCGGCCCGCTGGGCGGCGGCGACGCGGGGGCCGCGGAGCAGGGTCGCGACGTCGCCGACGACAGCGACCCTCTGGCTCCGCCCGACCCCTTGTTCAGGGCAGCTTTTGCCGACGAGTCTCTGGGTGGCTTCGACGATGACAGTGCATCCGAATCGCAGCGCCTGCAATCAGATCCAGCGAGCGGGAGCGCGGGTGGCGACGGGGCTGCAGCACTCACTCGGAAGAGGGTGCTCCCGAGCGCGATGGGCGGGCCCAAGAGGCGCACTCTGCAGCGCAAGGTCGTCGAGAGGGCCGCGGCTGGGGTCGCGGTCGCCGACGCCCAGCTTCCCGTGCCCGCCCGCGCTGACGAGGGCGCTGCTGGGCTCGTTTGCGATGGGCCTGATGAGCTTCGCAATCTGCTTGATTGGCCGCATCGAGTTCTGAGGGTAGTGACCGAGCACAGCCCTGTGAAGATTGATGACATCGTGAAGCGGATGCAGCATTTGAAGTACTCCACTGCTTTCTCGGGCGTCGATGCCCCTGGGACTGCGCTGAACGGCCTGGCAGGAGCGGTCTCCAAGTTGGGCCACGGTGACTGCCAACACCCAGCGCACTTGAGCGCGGTGGAGAGCGACCCATCGTGCCAGGCCGAATTGGATGCGCACCCCAGTCGACCAGAATGCATCTTCGGAGATATAGTTGGTTTTCTGAGTGATAACAGACAACGAAAGCTGCAGGATCTCAAGGCCGACCAGGAGCCGTCCCTAGTTAAGCTTGACAAGTGCTGGAAAGAAGCTGCCAAGTCCACCACTGGGAGTGCTTACTGCCTGAGCCACGGACGCAAATGCAGGTTCAAGGCGGGCAAGCTGCGCATCGCGGGCACCCCGTGCATAGACTTCTCGCCACTGGGGCGGCGACAAACCGTCGCTGGCAAGACCGTGGAGATCTTTGTTGCATGGGTAGCGTTAGTGAGAAATGCAGCACCGACGATTGTGATACATGAGAACGCTCACATGTTCAGCGTCGATATCTTACAGTCCGCCCTTGCGGACATCTACATCATCTGCTCCACTGTGATTTGTCCGACTAGCCTGGGCTGGCCAGTTCGCAGGCCGCGGCGTTGGACTGTGTTGGCGCACAGGCAGCGAGTGACAGATAAGTACTCGAGTCTCGAGAACGTCATTCAATTATTCAAGAAGCCTCGCACGTGCATTTGGCGCGCGTTCCTCGTGGCGACCGACCTCGAGATTCTCCAGGAGCTCCAATGGTCGTGTCAACGAGAGGGGTCCAACTGGTCCAAGGACCCGCCCGGCGATGACTACGTCGCGGTGGCCGGCGACTTCTACGCGCCCCTGGCCGACAGCGAGCGCAAGCATCTGACGGGGCACGCTGACCTCGGGACTGTGCCGGAGGACGCAATTGTCAACATCACGCAGGACCTCGGACGCCGATTAACGTTTTAGGTGTCAGATGTTTCCCATGTTTCCCTGCGCAGGCTTGCACTCCCCATGTGCCCTCTCAGTCTCCTCGGGTTCTTCTGGCCTCCTATGGGCTCCATGTGGGGGGGGAGGGGACTTTGAGGGAGGGTGGGCGGACGCCCCAGAGGACCCGAACGAGCGGCCCGTCTTCAGCACCAGCGAGGTGATGCACACCATCACGTGCAAGTGTCTGTCTTATGTGCCATCCCAGGGGCGTTGGCTCACGCCCGCAGAGTTGTTGTTGCCCCAGGGGTCCCCAGTCCTGGCGCTGACCAACCAGAGCAGCCTTGACGACAGCGATGCCCCCGCCCTTTGTAGTTTCACGCGAGACAGGTGCACTCGCCAGAGGCGCTTGCAAACTATCGGGCAGGCTGGAAACACTATGAATTGCAATGTAGCTGGCTGCGTCCTGGTGCACGCTCTTGGGTGGACGAAGGTGGTAGATGTAACGGGTATTACCCGATTGTGATCGCTCTCGGCACGTGCTTATCTTCGAGAGCCCTTGCGCCTCTCGCCCCGGCAGTGCAGGGGGCGGGGGCTGGCGGCGCATGATGGATGAGACCTATCATATGCGCGATCATCATGTTAACTAGCTGCGACGAGCTCGCAGCTAGAGTGATAAGATCGAGGCGTCAGCCCCCGTCCCTCGCCCCACTAGGGTGCGTGATATATTGCACGTGATTTGTTTTTGCATTGTAACAGCCCCATTGCCAAATGTGTGAACTGAGACTTGCTGGCACTTCTCCTCTCCGACAGAGTCGGGTGCCGAGCCGACGTGCATAAGAGGGAGGGGGCCTGCTGAGCGGCACGACCGACCGCCAGAAACGTTGGATCGGCGATGATTAGCAGGAGGAGGAGGAGGAGGAGGAGGAGGAGGGGGAGGGGGCGGCCGGAGGAGGTGGAGGGAGGAGTTCTAGTCCTACTGCCGAACCTGAGGGCCTGAAAGTGAGTGGGTCTGAGTGTACAGTGCACGTGAGTCTGAGTGCGAGTGAGTCAGAGCCTGAGTGGGTCTGAGTATGGGCGAGAGCCTGAGTGTGAGTGGCTCGGGGCCACAAGATGCATGTGCTCCCACTCGGCTGTCTCTAGTGGCCCTCGCCCGTCGCCTGCTTCTTCGCCTCCCTCCCTCTTCGCGGCCCCTCGGGCCATCGTTTCTTGCGGAGAGGGGGGGGGGGGGGGGGGGGGGCAATCAGGTTCGGTCGGGCCCCTCGTCGGGTTTCCGCTCGGCCCTGCCTGCAGGGGGCCGCTGCAGGGGTGAGAACGTGCCTGAGTCACTGATGCTGCAATAACAATGAACAACCAACCGCCCCCTCCGCCCAAGCCGCCTCGTCGTCGTCGGACATTTCACTGCGGCGAGGGCTTACTAGAAACGCTTACTGCGGCAAGGGCTTGCTGGGGAAGGGCACCCGGGGCTCCCCAAATCCTCTTGCCCTTCGCGCCCGACCCGCCCCCATTCCCTCGGTGGCCAATTGCCATGGCCATGTTCTACTCAAGCTCCCAGCCCGACCTCCTAGGGAGGTCAACGTCTCTCACGGCCACCGTTGCAGAATTCCATTCTGCCACCGACTTACCCTCACCTCGGTCGGCATCGGGTGGCCCAATGACCTCTTCCTCTCAGTCGCAGGGGCTAGAGTCGGAACCTGGCGCCTCGTCGGCCGTCGTCGCCACCGCCACCGACACGCTCGCGCTGGCGTTCGACCTGTCCATCACGAACGTGGACAAACGCTTCCCGAATGTCGCGGGTGCTCGGCGCCTGGACTTGTGCCAGGAGCTCTTCGGGGTGCCCCTTCCTCCTCCCCCCCCCTCCCCCGCCTCCCCTCCTCCCCCGCGCCCCCCCCCCCCCCCTCCCCTCCTCGTCCTCCTTCTCCTCTTGGGGCTCTGAGGCCTTAAGGGGGGGGGGGGGGGGGGAGAAGGGGAAGAGGGAGGAGGTTGTGGAAGAAGGGTGTCGGGGGCCCTCCTCCTGCCTCCTTCCAGGTACGGACGCACATGAACGCCACGATCCCTTGGTACAACTCGCAGGGCGAGCGCAACTTCGCCCGCCACATGGGGGTCAACGACCGCGAGCAGAAGGAGAACCTCAGCACACAGATCAAGACCATCTTGTCGTTTGGGCTCGCCAATGATGCCCGGGGCGTGCCCACGTGCCAGCTCAGCGAGGGGGACGTCCCTCCATATCGTTTGTTTTCACGGGCTCACCTGGCTACCGCGTTCTATATGTGCTGCGACAATCCGAAGTGGAGGGCGAACGAAAACGCGCAGGCCGCTTTGGCTAAAGGCCTCACCCGCGTGCAAGTATATCAGTGCCGTGCGCCTGACGATGCCCTCGTATGGATGAAAGATTTCCTCAACTTCGACTTTAACCAGAAAGCCGGCATCAATTTTGTGGAAACAATCGAATGGGGCCGCAAAATCAACGCCGAGCTGGCCGCCTACGAGCATCTCAACCCAGGGTGGGCCACTGGCAGCGACGAGAGTCGGCGCCAGAAGGTCTGGCAGTGGATCAAGGACAACTACAAGGATCAGGCGAAGCAGGGCATCATCCCATCAAACAACCTGTACGAGCTGGTGAGGTACATCGCCGAGAGGTTCAACGAGATCGACGCCGCTGATCCCGGCAAAGACTCGTGGGCTATCTTCCGAAAGCATATGCTGGATTGCTGCGTGTTCGGGGATGGCAGGATCAAGAACTACACCGTGCTCGAGTGCCTGAAGGCTGTCCTCTCAACGTTTTGCGGCATGCTCAATAACAAGCCTGTCACGGTGAATGCCACCCCGAAGCTCATCCGCATGATGATGGAAGAGTGCGTCAAGTTCTTGGTGCCGACGGTCAGCGACAACATCGAGGACAGCGTCGAGGACAACGGCATTTCTGTGGTCTTGGACAAGAACGCTTCGCGTGTGTCATGGCATTTGATCAAGCTGTCGAAGACGTCGGCCGCACTCAAGAGCATGTTCGTGGACATCTCGAGCGGGAAGTTCTACAAAGCTACTCAGAAGTCGATCGACAAGTTGCGCGAGCTTAAGCTGGCGTCGGACAAGACCGATGATAAGTCTAAGACCGATGAGAAGCCTGAGTCTAAGCCCGATGAGAAATCTAAGCGTCGCAGGATCTTGAGGAAGACTCCTTCGCAGGAAGAGGCGGAGAAGAGACGGCGGGAGGCTGACCGCAACAAGGACCTGCAGAAGATTGCGGTGGGCGCGGCGCCCGGGGCCGCCGCCGAGGGCGAGGAGGGCCAGCAGAACAAGGGCCAGCAGAGCGAGGGCAAGCAGAACGACGTCAAGCAGGAGGGCAAGGATGATGGCAATGACAAGGCGTCGGACAAGGACAAGGACAAGGGCAAGACTCGCCGCGCTGGTAAGGCCGCTGCAGCTGGGGGCGCCGTGGAGATCAAGCACATGGAGGCCGTGCGGAGGTTGTGCTTGTGCAAGGAGAATGGGGAGACGATCATCCCTTGGATCGAGGACGCCATCCTGGCGCACAACGCGTGCGTGGCCGAGGCCCTCGGCAGCAAGGGCATCACTGCTGCCATGCGCGCTGCCTCGGACACCGCCGTGGACGAGGCTCGGCCTCGGGCCGAACTACACTTCCCCCCGCCGCCCCCCTCCTCCGAGGAGGAGCGGGGAGTAGGGGAGGGAGAGGCGAGGAGTCAGGGGGCGAGGGGGAGGGGGGGAGGGGGAAGAGCGAGGCGGGGGAGGCGGAGGAGGGGGAGGAGGCTCGGAGGAGGAGGGAGAAAGGAGGAGGAAGAAAGAGGAGGCGGAGGAGGGATGCAGAGGAGGGAGGACGAGGAGGAGGAGGAGGAGGAGGAGGAGGAGGAGGAGGAAGCCCCCCAGCGCCGCGCCCCGCCTAGGCGTCGCGGTACTACTGGAGGTGCGTCTTGGAGTTCGCCTTCAGCGACGAGGGGCAGGTGGTCGTCGTCGTCGTCGTCGTCGTCGTCGGCGTCGTCGTCGTCGATCGTCGTCGTCCCCTCCCCTGCCTCCCCTCCTCCCCCCTGCCTTCCTCGCTCCTCGACCTCGCCTCCCTTCCTTCTCTCCCCCTCTTCGACCTTCCTTTCCCATTCGTTCCTCGCCCGTCCCCTTGCACCCTCCCAGCGCCCTCCTTCCTCCGCCCCCTCCCCATTCCTCCTCCTCCTTACCATCCTCGCTTCCTCGCTCCTCGACCTCGCATCCCTTCCACGACGACGACGATGACGACGCCGACGACCCTCCTCCTCCTCCTCCTCCACTCCTCCCGGCGGGCCTCCCGGGGAGGATGGGGATGGGGGAGGAGGAGGAGGAGGAGGAGGAGGAGGAGGAGGAGGAGGGAGCTTCTTGTTTTGCTGCCACTCAGGTAGTTTTCGGCGGCACCTCCAAGGACTCCAAGAAGACGCTCGCGGGCTGGAACGCGGTCCGAGGCGACGTCAAAAAGATGGTGGTGGACAGGATCAGGAAACGCTGCTTGCAGCTCGATGGGGAAGACGACGACGCCATGGGCGGCGACGAGTATGATGATACCCCACAGACTGCTATGGAGGCGAGCATCGCGAAGGCGTTTGGGAATATGACTCTTGTTGCCGCGTTGCGGGAGTTCATCTCATCAAATCCGTATGACACGCCCGTGACGTTCCTGCCAGTCTACATGGATGTATCTCAGCGGGCCTGGAAGTTCTTCGAGGCTGAGATGAAGGACGATCTCTACAGGAAGTCCGACGCTGCTGTCAAGGTGGTGCTGTCTAGCATCGTCGGCTGGGTCTTTCAGGCCATCGCCGCAGCAGAGCTGGTATCGCTGGAGGACGAGACCATGGGCCCCATCCAGAAGATTGGCTTCGTGTGGGCGGACCCCGAAGCTTACCCCAACTTCAAGGTCCCAGAGGTGGTGGATGACATCTTCGAGAGCGTGAACGCCGTGCAGGGATTCATGTGCCTCCGCTCCAAGATCGTGGCAGAGGTCGCGTGCTCTTTGCTGGCCAGGACCAAGACCAAAGTTACGTGGGCGACAGAGGAAGGCGTGGTGCTCAAGATAGAGGCAGTGGACGGCGTGATGAGCGCGTTGAGGTACGAATCCCAGAGAGATTTGAGCATGTCTGAGGTTCGTGCTGGACTTGCGCACGGTGGGGCACGGTCGGAAAGTTTGGGAATTTGCGCGGGTCAGGATGCTGAGTTCGATCGCGTCCCTGGCCATCGATGATCACGCCAAGGCGACGCTGAGGCCGCAGCGGCTCGACTTGTCCGTAGCGCGCGCCACCGCGCAGACCGTTCTCGGCATCCAGGAGGCCAGCAGGGCGGCCCAGGACGAGCTCGAGAAGCAAATTGCCGAGTTGGAGTCGGCCGCGCCTGGCGGCGAGGCCGTGGTGACCGCCGCGGCAAGCTTGGTGCCAGAGCTGCGCCCGGCAGAGGAGCAGCGCGATCCAACGCTGCATCTGGGCACGCTGGCAGAGGCGATGAGCCGCCAGAGAACCGCCGATACGGGTTGCCCGAAGGGGGCAGAGCTGAGGAAAACTCTGGGGATTGACCACGCCAGCTTGACCACGCAGTGCATCATCAAGTTGCCAGAGCACGAGATCACCGCTGCCTTCGTGAAGCAGCTGTCCGTGCACTTGGAGCCGGAGTTCCTGAACTTAGCGTTCCAGCCAGAGGATGATCTCTTCGAGAGCGTTACTCTCGATGTGACGCCGCCTGCGGGTTCTGGTGCTGGGTCTAAGCCCGCAGTGAAGCTGCTCTCCAACAAGAAGCTCACGGAGTCTTTCAAGATGTACTTTGCTGGCCACGTTGGGCCTGCCAGGCTTGTCGTGTCGTCGTGCTCCTCCTCCCTCCTCCTCCTCCTCGCTCCTCCCTCCTTTGCCAAATTGCCATCGCCCTCGCTCCTTTTCCAGGGGCAAGACGGCCGCGTTCCATATCACCACGATCGCTGGGATTACGCCTAACGGGAAGGACGAGAGTCACATTCAGGTCCCATTGTTCCTGACCTTCGACCCCGTTGAGCACAGCATTACGGGCAGCTGCCCTATCCCCGCTTGGATGGTCGAGAGGCTCGAGACCAACGTCGACGCCAACAAGACTGGTCGTGGCAAGAAGCGGACTGCTCAGCAGACCCCCCCGGGGCCAGATGATGCAAAGCCGCCCGAGGAGCTCCCGACTTTGGCAGTGGGCATGGAAGTCGTGCAGTTCGAGCTCCCCGAGTTTCTGGCCGCGAGCGCGGCCGACGGCGAGGGGGCAGTGTCGACCATCGACGCGAGGTGCCCCGTGCTCGAGCCGACTGCGCATGGATTGGGCCATGGTACTGAGCAGGCGCCCGTCAAGCTGAGCAGGCGCCGGGCCGCAAATTAGAAGGCGGTCAACAACAAGGGCGAGAAAGGCAACGGCAGGGGCACGTCCAAGGGCAAGGGCAGGTCGGACAAGTCGGATATGATTGACCTCGGGCTCGGCATGGGTGCCAAGTACGAGGGCGCGTGCTCGGCGGCGAACGGCCCGGCGAACGGTGACGGGGGCGACGCGGGCAGGGCGGCCGAGGGGGCCGCGGCGGCGACGCTCGCCGCTCTCAGGTCCAAGGTGCTCGAGGGCATCCCCAAGAGTGCCTGCGCGCACCTGCTGAAGTAGGCGCGGATAGATCAGACAATGAGGATGACTAGGGCTCAGAGGAGGAGGCCAGGAGGAGAGGGAGGAGGAGGGGGAGGAGGAGGAGGAGGAGGAGGAGGAGGAGGAGGAGGAGGGGGAGGAGGAGGAGGAGGGGGGAGAGGGGAGCGACGAGGACGAGGGAGAGGGAGGAAGGAGGAGGAGGAGGAGGAAGGAGGAGGAGGGGAGGAGGAGAAGGAGGAGGTCCGACCAAACTTCAACACTACCTGATTATCTTCGGGCATCGGGCCCATCGGGCCCGACGGGGCTCGCGGTCGTTCATGGCCCCGCGGCCCGCGCCCTGGCAGCGGGCGCAGATATCTTGCATGCCACCCGCTAGTTGCTCGGCACCCGCCGCCGCGACGCCTGGGGGGCCGACGCGCGCCCGGGCGTCTCTCACCGCCGACGGCCGAGCAGTCGAAGTGAGTGAGTCTGGATATGAGTGAGCGTGAGTGTCTGAGTGAGTCAGAGTGTGCCTGAGTCTGAGTATGAGTGAGTCTGAGTACGAGTGAGTACGAGCGTGGGTCGAGGCGGCGCTCATCGCCCCCCCCCCGTGCGTGCGCACTCTAGCTGCTTTTAGCTTTCCCTCCTCCTCCTCGTCCTCCCTCCCTCCCTCCCTCCCTGCTTACTCCCAGCCTCGTCTCCCGCGCCCCCCCCCCTTCCCCCCTCCTCGCCCTCCTCCTCCTTCCTCCCCCCTCCTCTTTATTATCCTCAGGTCTCGGTCTCGGTCCCCCCCTCTTCCTCCTCCCAGCTTATCTGCGCCAGCCTGGCGCAGGCGGGGATGGACAAAGACACGACCTCCGAGTGAGAGAAAAAAGAATATGGCCTCGGTGCCATCGCGGAGCGCGGCCGGCGGGCCGAGGCGGCCGCGGGGGGGCCGCCCGCCGCCGCGCCGCCGCCTCGGGCCCGAGACTCGGCGACGCTCAGGAGGAGGAGGAGGAGGAGGAGGAGGAGGAGGAGGAGGAGGAGGAGGAGGGGGTGCGTTCTGACGAGACTTGGAGGCCCTGGAGGTGAATCCAGCTGTGGCGACACGGGTGCGTTCTGACGAGAGGTCTGGAGGCGAATCCAGCCGTGGTGACACGAGGCTTGTCCCTGTCCCTTCCCCAGGGGTTGCCCTCGGCGGCGACCGCGCAGGATGTGGAGTAAGAGGTGGAGGACGCGAAGATGAGGAGGGGGGCCAGAGTGAACGTAGGACACATCAACGACGCTGCAATGCGCCCTCACACGTACGTGCGACCAGTTGCCTTGCCAAGCAGACGTCGGGCCGTCGTCGTCAGTCGGCGTCGTCGTCGCCCTTGCCCCCCCTCGCCCCGTCGCGGAAGGGGAAGAGGGGGGGCGAGGCGAGGGGGGAGGAGGTGGAGGAGGGGGAGGGAGGAGGAGGTGGAGGAGGGAGCAATGGTCACCTTGAATGAAAGATCCCTCCTCCATCAGTTGTGGACTCACCCAGGTGGGCGGGAGGAGCTCCCGTACCCACCAGCCACCAGCATCCGAGGGGTCGGGAGCTCCTCCCGACACGCACGCGTGGAGGGGGGAGGGGGGGGGGGGGGCGGGAGTTCCTCCCGACCACCCTTTTTTTTTTTTTTTTTTTTTTTGTATTTTGTTTTTTTCGGGTGCCGGGAGAGGGGAGGGGTGGGGGGGGTCGGGAGCCTCCCCGGACCCTCGGCGTTTGGAAAGGGGCGAGGGGGGTGGGGGGGGGTCGGGAGCCTACTCCGGACAATTCGGGTGCTGGAGGACGGTGGGAAGGGGGGGGGTACGGGGAGCTCCTCCGACCCTTCGGGTATGGGGTGCGGAGGGGTCGGAAGCTCCCCCCGACGACCATGCGGGTGCGGGCGAGAGGAGCGAGCGCGGGTGGGGTGGGGTGGGGGTGGGAGTGGGGGGGTTGTTGGGGTGGGTGAGAGGGGGGTGGGGGGGGCGGAAGTGAGGGGGGATGTTCGGGATGTCGGGAGCTCCTCCCGACCCCTCGGGTGCTGGAGAGGGGAGAGGGGAGGGGGGGGTGGGGTCGGGAGCCCCTCCCGACCGTTCGGGTGCTGAAGGGGGGGGGGGGGGTGCCACCCTCCTCGCTGTTGTCGCAAACGAAACAGGGAAGCAAAGGGGCAGCTGGCTCGGCCACGGCGATCTCAGCGATGTGCTTCACACGCAGCGCCCGCGGGGTGACGCTCGGCCTGCCCAGCGCCTTGGTCACCTGGCCGCGCTGAACAACTCAGGAGGAGGAGGATAAAGAGATGGCGTCACTGATGAGTAGGAGGAGGAGGAGGAAGTCAGGAGGAAGAGGAGGAGGAGGAGGAGGAGGAGGATAAGAGGATAAAGGGATAAGGAGACAAGAGGCTCACCTTCATCATGCGGGTCCCGCATGCTGGATGCAATATCGTAGCGTGAGCGTAGCTGCGATGCGGTTGGGCGTGCGCTCCAATCACCATGGATAATATTCTAGTCTCTCACCCTTTGCCCCCGGCGCGCAGCAGCGTTCGCCCAATTGACGAACTCGACGCAGTGTCCCCCGTTCCTCTCTTCATGCACCAAGGACACTTCGCCCTTGTCCCCAACAGGGGTGTATAGTGTAGCATGGCTTCGGTCGCTGAGAGCCGCAATGGACACCTGCACCTCCTCTAACCACTTTGCATGCACGCCTTTGTTGACTGCAGGCGATGGAGCTGCAGGGCCTTGATCTGCAGGGGCGCCAGTAAGACCATGTTCCACAGCAACATCGTGCAGCGATGTGGTAATACTTGCGTCGTGTAAGTCTTGGGTATCCGTTCGCATCGCGTCGCCCTCGTCCGTATGCTTCTCTAACACTGAAATGAATTGCTCGGCAAACTCTGTGTCCTCCAAAACATCAATGCCTTTGCGAGCCTCCGCTTCATCAGAGAGCTCAGAACTTCCAGCTTCAAACCCTGGTTGCATAGTTGGTTCGTCGCGGCCCTCCAACTCTTCAAGGATCCTCTCCAGCTCTTCCGCCAACCCATCGTCACATCCGAAGCCAAGTTGCACCTGTGCGTCCTGAACGGGTAGTGCTGCCTTATTGTCGTTCTTTCTCGGCGCATCAGGTTTCTTGCTCCTCGGAGTTGGCGGCGAATCGTCGAGTCCGAAAAGCATTTCGTTGTCGCGCCCTGGACATGGATCATCTGTAGACGCATCGATCCTCAAATCGCCCCAAGCTCGCAGGTGAACGCGCGCATTGGTGACTTGCTTTGCTGCTCCATCAGGTGGCTTGACGCACCTCGAATAGAGCTTCGAGAACACATCCAATGACGATGCGACAACAATAGGAGTGACTGCTCTGAGGTCGCTGCCGTCTGCGTTGAGCTTGCACTTGGCCACGTGGCCGGAAGAACCGTAGGTGAGAGCAAGAACCTAACAGTGATCGTCTCCGTCGAACTGCAACACATTGATACCTTCGGCCTTAACCTGGTTGAACCACTTGCGATTGCACCGTTGGCCCCACAGGAGAGCTACAGGGTCGCCCCTTGGGTCAGTAGGCCTCGATCCACCTGTGTCGCACAATGCCAGCGTCGGATCAGGAACGCTGAAACAGAAAGGCATGTTGAGCACACTGTCTATCTCAGAAGCGTGGTCGGTAGCTTCGGCGATAGCTGCGTTCACCCTGGGCGCAACGTCGGTCCACTTCAAGGACGCGCCTCGGACCCCCAAGCATGCTGTCTTTCGTATTGCGACCCGCGCATCCAAAAGAGGTAACCCAGTGGATGGTGCTCGGCGAACCACGGTCTGTAGCAGGTTGTTCACTCCCTCGGTCTCCTGCGCGTCTCCGCGCCAGAAGACAGAAGCAACATATAGAGGCATCCACGCTCGCATACTAAGCACACCCGTCCGAGAAGCTTCTCTGATCTCCGCCTGGAGCATATGTACCATTTGGGCTGCTGTTAAATGGAGGTTGTCCATTGGTGTGTTCAAAAGTTCAGCTGCCACTGCTTTCCGCTCATCGCATTGGGCACCTGCTTCTTCTTCTACCATGAGTAGAAGCTTGTGCGGGTAGGAAGTGACCCTCGACGTGATGCGTCGCTCGTAATCGACGATGCACCTTACAACAAGTCTCTTGATCCAAGTCCACAACAAGCCACGGATATCAACAGGAGCTCTGCACATAACATCTTCCCAGGCACTCCGCTGCAGCAGGCCGTCAAGTTCTTGCTTGATCTCGGCAGCCTTGCCCCGCGTGAGCAACGCCAGGCTGGATGGTGAACGTTCAGGTTGTGATTTCATCAGGCAGTGTAAGGCATGGTCATACGGGGCCTTGGGCTTGCGCGAGACCGATACCATCACCCAGAACAGATCCTCTCGTACCCCAGCGGATGCATCCTTTGCATACTTGCTCTGTCGCATAGCGTACACTTGCATATCCTCATGTCCCATTTCGTCGAGCTCACCACCAGAAGCTTCCATCTTCCTTGACATACTTGCAACGAGCTTCTCCGAGTCTTCTTTCCTATCTGCGAGCATTGATAACAAGAGCGGCTTCAACTGCCTTCCAGGACATCTATCAAGGTGCTTCTCGCAAAGGGTTGTGTTGCCCCAGCGGCCGACAAGAGGCTTGGGCGGTACCTGCTGGGCATGCGTCATCCCGTTCACGGCGCCGAAATGTTTCACCCAATTGGTGAACATGTCGCGGGCGTTGTCCCTCCAAAGATGCATGATCTTCCCCAGCGTCGCGTAATACCGTATGATGACTGCTGCTGTTCCGCCCGCTGCCACTCGGGCGCGGTTCTAGGCCTCGATCAATTCTTTAAGCATGGTGTCGCAATCTTCCAAGACGGACCTCGCCATGATATGCAATTGGTGCATGGGGCAGTCGCCGTCGAACGCCCAGCACCACGCGTTGCCAGCACATTCCCTATGCATCCATTTGCGAGCCCCCACTTCATCGGGGCCTGCGTCTGATGTGAACGCCCACACCTCCACGTGCGGCATCTCGATCTGTGCTGCTCGGTCCCACTCGGCAATCGCGGTGCTCTCCGCGGCGGCGAGTGCGGCGCCATCTGCAAGTAGCGGCGGCGCTGCTGGAAGTGCAAGGTGTGATGGAGCGGCGTCGTCTGCACGCGGTAGCGGCGCTGCTGGAAGTGGAAGGCGATCGGGCCCCGCAGCAGGCAGAGCCAGTAGATTGTAATCGATAGTCCTGCTTACCCAGCTCTTAGAATACGTGCTTGTCAGCTGCTTCAATATCATGCCGTGGGTACCCTGCGTCGTGCTCCTGCCAACAACTTGCAAGTCTCCCATCTCTCGCCTGACTTTGAAATTTTTGAGAACCGATGACAACGTATCGTGCTCATGAATTGGCGTGCTCACGTACCCAGCGGTCAACTCCAGGGTGTGGGGCTCGGGCTTCTGCCACGCTTGAGCGTTGGTCGCATCTCCGCGCAGCGCGTGGACAGAAACTGCCACTGTTGGCGCTGGCGGTCCATCTGCGCGCGCAGCATCGCGCATATTCTTGATACAAGAAGCCATATTGTTGCGGAAGGAACGGCCTGCAGTTCTCAATGCGGCTCGAAGGTGACATTCCCATGTTGATGCAATCTGGTGCGAGACGTCCGTTTCCGGCACGAGACCCAGGGCAGCTGCAGGCGCGTTGCTCACGCAACGCCTCATCGCCATTCTCATGCCGCTTGCTATGCTGATATATTTATCGCACGGGCCTCTCCGCAGCTACTTATCGATGAGCTCCTGCTTCAACAGATCCACCTCTCGAGTCAAGCTCTTGATCGCCTCATCGCGGCGCGCCGCCTTCCTGTCGAGGCCCTGGATCGTGCGCTGGAGGCGCGTCTTCAAGAGGTGGGGGGCCGCAGCGGCTGTCGCTGTTCAGGCTCAGGCAGAGGCAGTGGTTCAGGCTCGGGTCGTGGTTCAGGCTCAGGCCGTAGTTCAGGCTCGGGTAGGTGATCCTGCGGAGCAGCGGAGGAGGAGGAGGAGGAGGAGGAGGGGGGAGGGGGGGGAGGGGGGAGGAGGAGGAGGAGGAGGAGGAGGAGGAGGGCGAGGGGAGGGGGGCGAGGATGAGGAGGAGGAAGATGAGGAGGAGGATGAAGAGGAGGAGCAGGGGAGGAAGATGACGAGGAGGAGCGGAGGGTGAGGGAGGTGGG